ATAAAGGTGGTGTAAAAGTGGAATTTAGTGAATAAATATAATCGTCATTAACATGAAATCATTATCATCACTAAATTAAGATAAATAAACACCACTCGAATAAAGAAATCCAGAAATGACAGAAATAACATGTGGGATGACGGCAACGCCTGAACAGAAGCTACGACTCAATTTATTGTATTTACCACCGCATTTGGTTTCAGAGGACGTCCCAGAACTGAAGTAAAGCAACAAATATCAATTAGAATACATGGAAATGTCTTCTCTGGGCTTTAATGTTAATGTCCACAGAGATAATGTTAAACTATTTGAAATTCATTTTGATTAATTTGATGTGTGTGTGTTTGTTACTTTTCAGCCTGGAGACTCTCCTCACATGCTGTCCATCCCAGTGACCTGGGTGAAAGAGGGAGGCATGGTGCGCCTCGATAAAAAGTACCTGCAGACAGACTTCAAAGGAGTCAGCACTGATAACATTGTCTACAGCATCCTCCCCTCAGAGGGCCAACCCAAATATGGTACCTTAACACTCAGTGACACTTTCCTTTAATATTTCCAAACAAGCTGTTTTATCTGCTGAATGATTGTAATATTGTAGATTTTTCTACAGTTAGTACATAATTAATTTCAAATTTAATTTCTAAACTTTATTAAACATAAATTTTAGCTCTAATTTTGCTTTTAAGGTAAATATAACATCTTACTCACCTTCTCCGTCCAGGTGAGGTGTTGCTGGTGTCCATGCCGGCTGACGGCCCCCCAGAGGGTTGGCTTCCCTCGCTAACAGACGACCGTAGCTTTACAGCAACGACTTCCTTCACGCAGCAAGACGTGAACGACGGTGCGGTCTGGTACCGCCACTTTGGCACCGGCAGCAGCGGGGACTCCTTCCTTTTCCAGGTCAGTGCTGATGCACCCTGTCCACAGAGGAACAGTTTCACACATGCCTTTGTTTTGGCTCCTGGCAGCTGAGATGAAAAGATTATGTTTGAGTTTAAAGCATGAAACATTTATACAGGTGACAGATTAAAGGACAAAACCTTTAACTGCTGCAGGGAGAGCATACAGCTCTATTAAAGCTCTATCCACAGTGTCTTATTGTTTTGTATACAAAACTGAAACAAAGAAAGCTGCATTATCCAGCACAGCCTGTCAAAACTGAAAGTGAACAGAAAACCAACTCGAACCATCACAAATTTTGTCTTTTATTATGAAGTCGTTGCAAAGCAAAACCATCAAGTGTCAAAACTTGATGGAATTCTTCATTTGGCTCTCAGCGAAGGCGGTCGCACTTTTTCTCCTCTCCTCTCCCTTATCTTCCCTGCTTAGCTCCTCATGTCCTTGTCTAGT